AATAAAACCCATGTATTTGTTGTTGAAGGAACAGTCCCAGTTTAAGGATTATTGTACTTCATGAGTTTTAAAGTATGACAGGTTTTATCTGTACCTGTCTGTAGGATCAGAAAGTGTTTTATTTAGTTAAACAACCTGTTCAACAAAGTTTGGACTAATAAAGCTTTCACCATCTTCACGTTAATATGAATATAACCTGCTCAGTACCCTCAGGTTAATGAAGGTAATTAACTGGAATCTGTGGTAATTACAATGTAATAGAGCTGAAATGAAGAATAAGACAGATGAAGAGGATCAGTGTGACCTCTGTATCAAATGATGACCCAGTTCTGTCCTCACTGCTCATGTCCATCTTGTTTTGGACCTGCTTGTAGGTGCTCCCCTCACTTGCCTCCTTGGCCCGGGTGCAGCTGGGCAGAACCTTTCAGGATGGAGGAGCCGGGCTCAGAGCTGATTGTGTCAGAACCAGACGCTCTGGGTGCAGACTTCATCACCGTGGAGCTCGACACTCAGCCCATCGAGTATGTGGTGAAGTGGGCCGAAGTAGGCTCCAAGTTCACCATCTCCTGCGTGAAGAAGGAGATGGAGGACCAGGAAGACCTGACCTCAGACCAGCTGAAGATAGAGGCGGACGAGGCCTTCTTCGCCCCCTACGAGGAGGTGTACCCCTGCGAGGTGACGGAGCAGAGTGTGGAGATTAAAACAGACTCTGACGAAGAGGAGGAGGACGCCGAGGAGGAGCAGGAGGTTCTGGTGGAGGCGGGCAGCAGCCAGCTGGACTGTGAGGTGGATTATGATCCTGACGACTACGAGCCTGAGGAGCGTCAGTTCCGCTGCACTTACTGCGGGAAGTCCTACAGCCACGCCTCCAGCCTGTACCGCCACCATCAGACGCACAGCGGGAAGAGCCACGCCCCCCTCGCCAAGAGGACGCTGGAGCCCACCCATCAGGACGCTCGCTACATCTGCCCTCACTGTGGCCTGAGCTTCAAAGGCAGCAGGTGAGACCCGCTCAGGTTCTGTAGGCTGTGACCCGTTTCAGGTTCTGTAGGCTGTGACCCATTTCAGGTTCTGTAGGCTGTGACCCATTTCAGGTTCTGTAGGCTGTGACCC